AATGTAATTATCATTTAATTAGTGAAAAAATCGAAAATATAAAATATGGTTTTTTACATTTTAAAATTTGAAGTTAAAAGGATTAATTGTGGTAGAGAAGGTTCGGGACCTAAATATGTGACAATTGATTGAAATCAGGATCTCTTCTGTGAAAGTAGAAATCAGAGGTTGAATGGTTGATCGATCATGACACCTACCAACTAAAACCAAAAGTTGTAAATAAAAAAAAATAAAAAAATAAAAAAATAAAAAAAATCCCTAAGCCTTTTAACTTCTACGTAAATACACCTTCAACTTCTAGTCAGTAGTCACTGCATGGAAAGTTGGTGTTTGTTTGACATTCGATGCCAAAATGAACACGCTAATTAACGTACTATTTTGATTTTAAAAGCAGCGTTTTTGTATATTAGCACTAAAAATGCATTGATTTTATGGTCTATTCTTATTAATGATTTTATGGTCTAAAGCCTGTAGAAATTATAAGAATCCAACATGAAAAAACTCAATTTAAAGGGTTTGAATCTCAAAAGATTATTATTAAGTTATCTTCATAAGGATAATTATTAGTTTATTAGTCTCTTTCATTAAATGATGTTTGATTTGAAATCAAACGATGTATTTCATATTTTGAAATGAAGCATATATATTTTACTTGTAGCTTATAAGAAAATGTGTTGTTAATAAAACACCATTTAGACACTTATTGCCACATTTATAAAAAGTCAACCAATAATTAACTATATATAATCATCTTTTTTGGAAAACAATACAATTTCAACCAATAAAAATATTTGGAATTTTAATTAGGGTGTTTATATGGTAAAATGAGGTGTCTTTATAAAAATGATACAATACTTATTTACCATTTTTTTGGTGTTCAAATAGACAAATAAATTGTTTTAAAGGTCCTATGATGAGAAAGACACACCAACAACCTAGGAAAATTGGCATTGACTTGTAGTCCATTCAAGACAGATTTTATCTTCTTTTGTCATAAAGTCTTGGTCTTTCATTATATATGTTGATCTTACCATGGTCTTTTGATCTTACCATGGTCTTTCACATTTGCATTTTGCAATGTCTTCCTGTGTGCATTTTTACTCAATTGTTACCATTCTTCTCTTTGCTCTCCCTCCACTTGAGGTCACCTCCCACCACCACAACCATAATGGACTCAAATCTCTTCATTTTGCACTTTTCCAACATGAAACCATAAACAAAACCGGTTACATCATTGTTAATGGAGTGGGTGGTCCACCTGTAAGCCAAACCACCACTCCGTTTGGGACCCTGTTTGCTTTTCAGGATCCCTTAACTCTTAAACCAAACTATACTTCCAAAGTTGTTGGAATGGCCCAAGGAACCTCGATCACTTCAGGACTAGATGGGCTTCAAAGCATCTCTATTGCCTCAATCGCTTTGAATGTGAAGAAACACAAAGGGTCTATATCCGTTGTTGGGGTCACGCATAACACCAAGCATGCAAATCACCCAGTTGTCGGAGGCACAGGTGACTTTTTGTTTGTTCAAGGTTATGTAACATCATCTCCGGTCAATCTTGTAGGTTTGACTGTTACGTACAAGATTGAGTTTCATCTTTATTGGCCTTATGCATCTTCTAAACCCTAAACTTCATCAAGAACAAATATTTGACTTCGTTGTTCGTAGAATTCTACATGAGATGGAAGGCTAGTTTTATGATTATGTTTTTCTTTTCCTATTGTTAAAAATAATACTTTTACCTTTTTAATAAGAACTAGTAAAGAACTCGCGGCTATGCCGTTTTTGGGGTAATATGGAAAAAATCGGCAAACTTTAAAAGATATGTGCTGAAATTGTAAATCACCATAAATAGGGAAGAAAGTCGACAACTCCTAAAATTAGATGTCAAAAGTGTACAACGAAAAAAAGGGACACTGGTGGAGAAAATCCAAAATGTTGTGTCAATAATATTAAAGTTGTTAACGTTGGGAAAATATGTTGGCAAAATTTTAAAGGAGGTTTTTTTGTGTT